CCATGAACAGGGTACATTTTTCCATCTTCTAAGATCTTCTTCTATCTCTCTCTTTAGGGTTCTGTAGTTTTCATTATATAAATCTTTCACCTCTTTTGTTAGGTTGATTCCCAAGTATCTTATTTTCTGTGAGGATATTGTGAATGGAGTGGTTTTCCTCATTTCCATTTCAGAAGTTTTGTTGCTGATATACAGGAATGCCTTTGATTTATGCGTGTTGATTTTATATCCTGCCACTTTGCTGAATTCATTTATTAACTCTAGCAGTTTCTTTGTAGACCCTTTTGGGTCTGTTAAATATATTATCATGTCATCCACAAATAGCGATAATTTAAGTTCTTCTTTTCCTATTTTTATGCCTTTAATTTCTTTTGTCTGTCTAATTGCTCTGGCTAGTATTTCAAGAACTAAATTGAATAGAAGTGGTGATAGAGGGCATCCCTGTCTTCTTCCAGATTTTAGAGGGAATGCCTTCAGTTTTTCTCCATTTAGGATGATGCTAGCCTGAGGTAAGTTCCTGTTATCCCTAATTTTTCTAGTGTTTTGAACATAAAGGGATGCTGTACTTTGTCGAATGCTTTTTCTGCATCTATCGAGATGATCATATGGTTCTTGTCTTTAAGTCTATTGATGTGGTGAATAGCATTTATTGATTTCCGTATATTGAACCAGCCTTGCATCCCAGGGATGAATCCTACTTGATCATGGTGCACAATTTTTTTGATGTGTTTTTGTATCTGATTCACCAGAATTTTATTGAGAATTTTTGCATCCAAGTTCATTAGAGATATTGGTCTGTAGTTTTCTTTCTTTGAAGTGTCTTTGTCTGGTTTCGGGATCAGGGTGATGTTGGCCTCATAGAATGAATTTGGAAGAGCTCCTTCTTTTTCTATTTCTTGAAATAGCTTGAAAAGTATTGGTATTAATTCTTCTTTGAAGGTTTTGTAGAACTCTGCTGTATACCCATCCAGTCCAGGGCTTTTTTTGGTTGGTAGTCTTTTGATGGCTTCTTCTATTTCTTCCTTTGTTATTGGTCTGTTTAAATTGTGTGTGTCTTCCTGACTCAATCTGGGCAGATCGTATGACTTAAGAAATTTATCGATATCTTCACTATCTTCTATTTTATTGGAATATAGGGTTTCAAAATACTTTCTAATTATCTTCTGTATTTCTGTAGTGTCTGTTGTGATATTGCCTTTTTCATTCCGTATGTTAGTAATTTGAGTTCTCTCTCTTCTTCTCTTCGTTAGCATGGCTAAGGGCCTGTCGATCTTATTTATTTTTTCAAAGAACCAACTTTTAGTTTTATCAATTTTTTCAATGGTTTTTTTTGTTTCAATTTTGTTGATTTCTGCTCTAATTTTAATTATTTCTTGTCTTCTACTACATTTGCTGTTGTTGGTTTTTGAGGTGTAGTGTGAGTTCATTTATTTGTTGGTTTTTTCTTTTTTTGAGGGAAGAACTCCAAGAAATGAATTTCCCTCTTAAAACTGCTTTCATTGTGTCCCATAGATTCTGGTATGTTGTGTCTGTATTGTCATTTGTCTCTAAGAATTTTTTTATCTCTTCCTTTATGTCTTCTGTAACCCATTGATCATTCAGTAGCATGTTGTTCATTTTCCATATGATGTAGGATTTTTCCTTCCTTCTTTTATCATTGATTTCCAGTTTCATTCAATTATGATCAGATGTGGTGCATGGTATTATCTCCACGCCTTTATATTTACTAAGAGTTGCCCTGTGACATAATATATGGTCTATCTTTGAGTAGGATCCATGTGTTGCTGAGAAGAACGTGTATCCACTTGGTGATGGTTGATATATTTTATATATGTCGGTTAAGTCTAGGTTATTGATTGTGCTATTGAGTTCTATAGTTTCTTTATTCAGCTTTTGTCTAGAGGATCTGTCTAATGGCGAGAGCAGTGTGTTGAAGTCACCCATAATTATTGTGTTGTAGTCTATTTGACTCTTGAACTTGAGGAGAGTTTGTTTTATGAACGTTGCAGCTCCATTGTTTGGTGCATATAAATTGATAATTGTTATATCTTGTTGGTGGATGGTTCCTTTTAACAGTATATAGTGTCCTTCTTTATCCCTTTTGATTAACTTAGGTTTGAAGTTGATTTTATTCGATATGAGTATGGCCACTCCTGCTTGCTTCCGAGGGCCATGCGAGTGGTATGATTTTTCCCAACCTTTTACCTTCAGCCTGTGTATGTCTTTTCCTATCATATGAGTCTCCTGAAGGCAGCATATTGTTGGATTTGTTTTTTTGATCCAGGTTACTAGCCTATGTCTCTTGATTGGTGAGTTTAGGCCATTAACATTTAAGGTTACAATTGAAATATGATTTGTACTTCCAGTCATGTTTGTTTATTTTTTTATTTTAGTTTGGCTAGTTTTTACTTTTTGGTTATTTTCCTCCCCCTTTACTGAGATACCTCCTGCTGTTAGTTTTGGGCGCTATTTTTCAATTCCTCTTCTTGTAGTATTTTGCTCAAAATGCTTTGCAGTGCTGGTTTTCTGGCTGCGAATTCTTTTAGCTTTTGTTTATCGTGAAAGATTTTAATTTCATTGTCAAATCTGAAGCTTAATTTTGCTGGATACAGTATTCTTGGTTGGAATCCATTATTTTTCAGCATTTGAAATACATTGTTCCAGGATCTTCTCGCTTTCAAAGTCTGTGATGAAAAATCAGTCGTTAACCTAATTGGTTTACCCCTGAATGTAATCTGCCTCCTTTCTCTCGTAGCTTTTAATATTCTCTCCTTGTTCTGTATGTTGGCTATCTTCATAATTATATGTCTTGGAGTTGGTCTATTACGGTTTTGAATGTTTGGGGTCCTGTAGGCTTCCAGGATTTGGCAATCCATTCCATCTTTCATCTCTGGGAAGTTTTCTAGAATTATTTCGTTTAATATGTTGTCCATTCCTTTGGTTTGAATCTCTATGCCTTCTTCTATCCCGATGACTCTCAAATTTGGTTTTTTTATGACATCCCATATCTCTTGAATAGATTGCTCGTGGGATTTAAGCATCTTTTCTGTGTTGACTGTATTCTTTTCAAGTTGATAAACTTTGTTTTCATTATCTGATGTTCTGACTTCTACTTGATCTAGTCTATTTGTAATATTCTCATTTGAGTTTTTAATTTGGTTTATAGTTTCCTGCATTTCTAGGATTACTGTTTGATTTTTTTTAAGATCTCTATCTCCTGGTAAAGCTCATTCTTTGCCATTTGAATTTGTTTGTTTAATTCATTTTCAAAATATACTTTTATTGCTTGGACTTGCTGCCTCATATCTTCTCTAATATTCCTTTCCATCTGAGTTAGGTATGCCTTGAGTTCTTTCCCTATCCCTGTTTCTGATGCTTCTAGGTCCTCCTGTAGATTTAAGTTGTCCTGCATTGTTTGTACTCCTTTTTTCCCTTGTTTTTTCATGATGTTCACGTTACTTTCCAGCTATATTTGATTGCTGTGTTTCTGCTCTCTTCTATAGATTTGTTTTGGTTTTGTATATCTCTGTTGTCTCTCCTTTGTGTTGGTAGACTATGCCTGCTAAAGTGGAATCCGCTGGGAAGGAATTCCGACGGCCGAGCTCCAGTGATGTCACCTCTCTGCTATGGCTGGCCCCAGGCTCCTTGCCGGGGTGTCCGAATGGGGGGGTGGGACTGGACTGTCTCTGGTTGGTTTCAGCTCCTGGTCGCTGGCGGGCGGGCGGTCTCCAGCCGCCCAGTCGCGCGGGCAGCGGGTGGGCTGTCGCCGGCGGGCGGGCGGTCTCCAGCCACCCAGTTGCGCGGGCAGCCGGCGATCGATCGGTCGCCGGCAGGCGTGTGGTCTCCAGCCGCCCAGTCGCAGGGGCAGCGGGTGGGCTGTCGCCAGCGGGCGGGCGGTCTCCAGCCGCCCAGTCGCGTGGGCAGCTGGCGGGCGATAGGTTGCCGGCGTGTAGGCGGTCTCCAGCCACCCAGTCACGCGGGCAGCGGGCCGGCTGTTGCCGGCGGGCGGGCGATCTCTAGCCACCCAGTCGCGCGGTCGGTCGCCAGCGGTGGGCATTCTCCAGCCGCCCAGTCACGCGGGCAGCGGGTGGACTGTCGCCGGAGGGCGTGCGGTCTCCAGCCGCCCAGTCGCGAAGGCCTGGCCTCTAGTCCCCTGGTTTCTCCTGCTAGTCCTGGTTTCTCCTGCTAGACCTGATTTCCCCTGAGTGATGCCTCTCGGCAGTTCAAACTGTACTCTGGGCCTGCCGTTTGTTGGGTGTGGAGGGTGTCTATTGGGAACCCCAGCACTCTATTGTTTTGTTTTTTTCCGCTTGCCCTTCCCCCAGCTCTGGCTAGACAGGTTTCGTTTTCCCCACTAATGGGAGGGGGAGTTGAAGGTCAGGTGTCTCTAGTTTTCCCCGCGTCTTTATGCAGGCTCGCTCTGATAATCCCACCCCCGGAAAGCCTAGGAAAGATTTTATTCGAATTCCCCGCTGTATGGGAGCTGAGCTGAGTAACACACACCTGTTTTATTGTGGCAATCTGTCGGAGAGTGGTGGTGGTTACTTCAGCTCTCCAAGATGGTGGCCGCTGGTTTCCTTGGTGGAGTTTCCGTTGTGGGGGATAGAACTGTACCGCTTCCTTCCCCGTTTGAAATCCCAAACTCAGCCTGGGGCTCAGTGGGTGCTCAGCCGGCAGGATTCCACAGAATCTGCAGCAATGTTTCTTCCTGCTTGCTGGTTGCTTCTTGGTGGTGCCCTGCCGTCTGTAGCCGCGGGGCGGGCCGCACGGATCAATCAGTCCGGGTCCTCTAAAATTCTTGACCATCCCTGGCAATGTAAATTCACCTCTTGGGAGAGCCAAGTTGAGGTAGGTGGTAGGGAAAACCCTGAAGAGATCAATTAAGTTTCTTCCATTCAAAGTGTGGAATATGTCAAGAAATTTGTAATGTTTTGAACAACCCACAATAAAAAATTAAAAATAAAAAAAAAAGTTTCTTCCTGTCTCAGCAAAACAGAAGATTGAGAACAGAAATTAAATGGGGTTGTCAACTGGACACAAATCAAAAGGGGATGGTGACCTCACAGCCCCCTGCGGTAGATTGCCATTCATCTTGCTGCTCAGGGCTGAGGTCTGAGTTTGTGAGTGACCTCACAATGACCAGAGTGGGGCTTAGCCCGCTGCCACAGCCTCAGTCCACCATGCTGAGTACCCTGTGGCTGCTGCTCAGCTTTGCTGTCCCAGTGCGGGGGATCTACAAATTTATCAGCTGTCCCCATGGCAAGCAATGCCAGAAGGCCCTGCTGTCCAGCAACGACGTACTCCTGCAATGCAGCTCTGCTGGGGCACACTGGTACTACTTCTTCCTGCAGACCAGGAGTGGCTGGACCACCACCAACACCAGTGTTTCCAATATGGTCACGACGCCCATAGGTCACCTTCTCATTAGAGACCCTCTGCCCTCCCAGACCGGCCTCTACAGCTGCTGGAACAAGAATGGCACCCAAGAGACACAGTACGAGATTGATTTTCAGGATGTCAGCTCCCTGCATATCACACACAAAAGCCTGGACCAAGATCCCCTGCACAACGAGTCCCTGGAACTGGGTCGTCAGGAGACGGTCTTCACGCACTGGGAGCCCTGGCAGGACTGTAACCGCTGCAACGTGCCCGGGGAGCGCAAGCGCTTGGGCTACTGCTACATCCAGGAGCCCCAGGAGGAGCCCGTCCCCTGTGGGATCTTTCTGGGACAGGCCAAGTTGAAGTCCAACCGCTTGCGGCCCGAGATGCAGGTGGAAGCCTGTTTGGTGCCCTGCGACCCTCAACACTCCTACCACCACGAGTACACCATCTTTGACAGTTTCAGTTTCAGCAAGGAGTCGGAAGCTCTGTGGCTCACCTGCTCCTTAGGATCCATCTACAGGTGATAGGACCTGGTCACTAGCACGGTCCTGGCCCCCGGCCGGGCAGTCTTTGTGGTTCCTCTGTGCAGGGAGGGAAGGGGTTCTGTGCAGGCCGGCCCGGCCAGCTCAGGGGTCCTCAGGCTTGAGCCCAGGGGACACAGCCCAGGTGGCCAGAGTGGGCTGGGAGGAGCCCTGGCAGAGCAACGGGCTGCCCATGAATCTGGGCGGGGGGTGGGTTGCTTCTGAGAGGCCCCTGAGTCATCTAGAAGGGCCAGCAAGGCCCTAGAGGACAGGACAGTGGCCCCCAGTTGTCCTTCAGTGCCCGTTTCCCAGAGCTCACTCTCATGTCCTGGCCTTCCTGCCCCGAGCCCCTGGGAAATCTGCCCAGCACCTCCTCTTCCCATCCCCGCTTCCCACCCCTCCCCCAGTAGATGCCCAGCAGCATCGGCGGCCACCCCAGGACAATGTCCTCTCCCAGTCCACTCTCCTGGCTCAGGAGGTGGGGACACCAAGGAGGCCATTTTTTAAGATGGGGAAACTGAGGCTTGGAAGTGTGATCCTTGCCCAGAGCGTGGTGGCCGTGCAGACCCTAAGCCCTGTGGACTGGCCGTGGGGTGTCCTACCCTCTGCAGAGGCCCGGGGCGGGCAGCTCCTGATTGCCTGGGGCCGTGGTCAGGTGGAGGCTGATCTGCATCTCGGTCCTCGGCAGACACGAGCTCTGTGGGATCTGGGCTCAGCACCTGCACTGGGTCCTCTTGTATGGTCCACTTGTGACTTCCCCTCGCTCTGGGACCCTGTTGTCCCCCTCCCTCCTCCTCTAAGTATAAAAGCCACGGCCTCTTTCCTGAGACCAGCCAGTTCAGGAAGGCAGGAACGGAGTGCGGACCCCTCTCCCGTGTCACATGAGGAGTTCCCAGGTCCCAGGCCCAGGGAATGAGATAAGAAGGGAGGGACGGCACAGGGAGACCACCACATGCCCTTGTTTCTAAGGCACGGAGGGGACGGAGGGGACGGCCTTTCTGGTGAGATTTTGATCTTGGGCTCTGGATTCCGCCAACCTGGGGTTCGCAGTTCCGATTCTGCCATTTTCCAGTTAGGTGACTTTGGGCCCAGGGCTTCCCCTCGGAGCCTCGGATTCCTCATCCGTAGACTGGGGTCACATTCGTGATGCACAGAGTACCCTGGACTGGGTGGCTTACAACAGTGGACATTTATTCTCTTGCCTTCCCTGAGGCTGGGAGCCTGAACCCAGGTGTCCGTGGGGCCGGGCACCACCTCAGTCCTTCCCTGCCTCTTCCCGGCGGCTGGTGGCAGCCAGAGATCCTGACGCTTGTCCCCGTGTTGCTCCAGTCTTTGCATCTGGCCGTCGCCTCTCGGCCTTCTTCCTGTAGGTCTGACCTCCCTGTCCAGCCTCCTCTTCCAGGAGGACTCCACCCTACCCCAGCATGACCTCGTTTTTACCTAGTCACCTCGGAAATAGCCCAGCTTCCAAGTACAGTCACACCGAGTCCTGGGGAGGGTATCAATCTGGTGGGGGAAGGAGTGGTCAGCGCCTGAGGCCTGGCTGACCCCAGCCCCAGGGTGCCATTGTGATGTTTAAAAGGGCCAGTGACAGTCCAGGGCTCACTGCTGGGTCTTGGCCTCATGAGGAGACTGGGATATTGTCCCCTGGGATACTCTGTCCTTCCGCCACAGCTGCACCAGGCTTGCTGGGGGCCTGTTCCTTGATGTGCCAAGCACGGTCCTCGGGGCCTGGGACCCGGTACTGAGCAGACATACCCACCGCCCTCGCCCTCTTGCAGCAACCACTGTATTTTTATTTCAGAACAAATAAAACACAATATTTTAGATGATGTTAAGAGTCAAAGGGAGAGGAGGACATGGAAATTGGAAATGGGTCAGGGAAGGCTTCTCAGAGACAATGCCATTGCATCCAAGACCAAAAGGAGGCAAAGGAACCATGTGGATGGAGCGAGGAACAGAGTTCCAGGCAGAGGGAACAGCCAGGCCAGAGGTCCTGAGGCAGAGGGCACCCAGCATGTCTGAGGGACATCTGGGACACCGTCTGTTCTTTGGACGCCCTGGGCATGTTGTGGGATGGGCAGATGACTCGGGGGAGGGGAGGAGGTGAATTCAGGTAGGTGAGGGGACACAGGGGACCAGTTAGGGAGTGGTCTTGCTGATGTCTCCAAATAACTCAATGAAAAGTGCGATGCTTGATTATGTTTCCATGGTTAGAGGTGGGAAGGGACAGAGGCCTTGGCTCAGGTCACCCAGCCAGGAAGGGGTGGCGCTCTGGGGCTCCCAAGGCACGGCCCGCCCTCCCCTGTTCACCGCCCAGCCACCTCCCTGTAGAGGCAGCGCCTTTCCTCTCGGGGCGTGGCCCTGACCTTGTCCTCCCCGCAGGCCCATCATGTGGGAAGTCAACGGCATCCCCTTAACTTGGCGGGGCCAGCTGATCGGCCAGGGCATGAACACCGTCCTGGACACCTCCACCGGCGGCAGGCAGCTGCAGATCTTCCAGCCGGCCACGTACAAGTGCTACGTCCACCAGGAGTTCATGGCCCAGTTCAGCCCCGTGGTGGGTCCCGAGGCCTTGGAGGAGCAGAACAAGAAGGAGGAGCAGCAGTGGCAGGTGGGCAAGGTCCTGGTCCCGCCCAAGGAGGCCGACTCGGTTCTCAAGGGGCTGAAGCTGATGCTGCTCATGGTCTTCGTCCTGGCCCTGGCCGGGCTTCTCTTCAGGGTCTTCCGTCCTGCCTGGGACAAGAGGAAGAACTCCGTCCTGCTGGTGAAATAAAGCGAGCCTGCTTGCCCAAGGGGACCCGGCTTCCTGTTCCTTTATGGCCTCCGCTGTCCCACAGAGAGCTCCTGCCCACCCCGTGCCCACCCACGCCCCCCTCTGAGATGCCCTGTGGGCCACAACGGGCCCTGGGCAACAGCAGGCCCTGCCCTGCTGCAGCGTGAGGGATGGCACCCCGCTGGTCTCGGGGGAGTATCAGGTGTGGTCAGTCGCGACCTCCTCTCAATCCACTCTCCAAGGACAACACGGCGCGTGCAAATGGGCCGTCTCCAGGTCCTCCCGGCCTGCCCGGCCCCTCCTGCTTGTTCATTGCCCCAGGCTTCAAGCCACCGTGCCCCAAGTCTGGGCCCAGGGTGGCTTGAACACCCTTCATGTTGCCGGGCTTTTGCAGTGGAGGAAGCCCCCTCAGAACCACCAAAGGGACAAGGTGCCAGGCCTGGCTCTGCATGGGAGTCACCAGGCCTGGCTGATCCCAGAAATGCTCACACTGTCGAGCAGGGTGCCGGGCGAGAGAGGAAACAGGAATGCCTTTTAAAGTTCATGGCTCTAAACCTCACTGTGGAGCAGAGACAGGACACACCTGAGACTCTCCCAGGGCAGCCCTGGGGTCCTGGAGGACAGGGCAGAGCACCCCCCAGGCACCAGAACGCTTGGCCTGGTACCCAGAGACTCTCAGGTTCCTGCAGGACGAGGGGAAGGCCCCCGAGAATTCACGGGGACTCCCTGGGAGGCAGGGGCCAAGGATACGATGATGATGATGATAAACCCTTTTGGCCCTCAGGAGGCGTGGTTAAAACTTGCACCCTTCCTCAACATCATGTCCCCACAGCCACCCACGAGGCTTCTGCCACTAGAGCCCTGTTCTGCAGCTGAGAACATCCAGGTGCGGGAGGCACAGCCACCTGCTGAGGTCACACAGTGAGTTTGGGAAGGGGACAGTGAAAGGAAATATCGGCTCCTTGCTGGCTCCTAGGAAACCCCCAGCCTGGTGTCCTGTACCTACAGTAGCCCCCCCTGGGCAGCAGCCGGCAGGGGAAGAGCAGGCGCCAACCAGCAGCCTGTGCCCACACTGGTCTACACAGCATTGAACGTCTCGTGACCCACAGCCGAGGGGCCATCAGCGCTGTACTGTGGCAGGCAGTCCCTGAGGTGACCGTGGCTTTCCACCTCCTGGTATCCACATCTTTGTGAAATCCTCTGCCCCTTGTGTGGACCAGATCTGTGACCCTGCTTCTGACCACAGCATGTGCTGACGGTGTTAGACGGCCATTCCTGAGGAGGTTGGGTCCTATAAGACCTGCCTCAGTAGCCAGGAGCACAGACTGTTGTTGCTTTGATGACACAAACAGCTGCTGTGGTTTGGATAAGTGTCCCCCAAAGGCCCATGTGTTAAAGACTTTGTCCCCAGCCCGTGGCTCTATTGGGGGTGGTAGAACCTTTGGAAGGTAGAGCCTAATGGGAGAAAGTTAGGTCTTTGGGGCATGGCCTTGAATGGGATATTGGGACCCTCCCTGTCTCTCTCTTCTGCTCTCCTGACACCATGAAATGGGCAGCTTTCTTCACCACGTGTTCCCACCGTGAGGTGCTGCCTCCCCACAGGCCCCAAAGCAACTGGATTAACCGATCATGGGATGAAGCCTCTGAAACTGAGAGTAAACCTTTTCTCCCTAAAAGATGATTATCTCAGGTATTTTGTAATAGTAATGAAAAACTAACATAGCAGTTATGTTGAGGAAGTCCATGTAGCATGAAGCTGCAGCCTGGGAACTCTGTAGAGATAGTAAATATCAGGTTGGGGGTGGGGGATATGTTTGCTGCTCCGATGAAGCTGACTAGGATATGGAGGCAGCCATGATGGAGAAGGATATCCAGGAAATATCCAGGGGCCAGATCCTGTAGGGCCTTGTGGACCAGAGTCAGGATTTTTGGGGTACCAGGGATTGAACCCAGGAGTAGTTAATTACTCAGTCGTATCACATCCCCAGCCCTTTATAATTTTCATTTTGTAACAGGATCTAGCTAAGTTGCTTAGGGCCTTGCTAAATTTATGTGGCTGTCCTCAAACTTGCAATCCTCCTGCCTCAGCCTACTGAGCCATGGGGATTGTAGGTGTGTGCCATCATGCCCAGCTTTTGAGAGCAGGTCTTTATTAGAAATGAGATGGGAGCCCCGGGAGAGTTTTGAGCAGTGGAGGGACATGATTGAATGTCCATTTAAAGTGGTGATTCTGACAGGGTGGGAAGAGAAGTAGCAGCCACTTTGCAGGTGACCATAGGACAATGAGAAACGGTCACCACCAAGTGGTCAGGCCTGCCCTGGCCACCCTCTGCCTCACCTCAGAGCACAGCATAAGACACAGTATGCCCACACTCCATTCTTTGTTTTCTGAGCTGGGTCTTACATTGTTGCTAGTCTGGTCTCAAAATGCTGGGCTCAAACAGTTCTCCCACCTCAAACCCTGAGTAGCTGGGACTCGAGATGCACGCCACTGAGCCCAGCTACTTCATTTTAACCATCCATTCTGCCCTTTCCCTTCTGTATCGTCATTTTTTTAAAAAAATTTCTCAGGCTTACTTTTTTGAAAAAAAAATTGCTAATAAATGTCATTCCAGGAAAGTAGTCCTCCTTCTGCTGTGTTACTTTCTATGTTATCAGTCACTCATGTTCTTGGTTACCTGTGGTCAATTGTGACCTGTGAATATTAAATAGAAAATTCCAGAAGTGATTAATAAATGTATTATCAATAAATAAATTTTATTACAGTATAATAATAAAGGTTCTATTTTATTATGAGTTATTGTTAATCTTTTATTATGCATAATTTATAAATTAATCATAAGTACTGATGTATAGGGGAAAAAAAGGTATCTATAGGGTTCAGTGTTATCCATGATCCAGGCACCAGTGGGGCTGTGGAATACATCTCCCATGGATAAGGTGGGGCTACTGTACTTGGCCTTGCAATCTAGCTCCTCTGACCTGCTGAGGAGGGGATGAGAAGGGGAAAATGTTCCCTTTTTTCTTTTGAAGTCGCAGAAATGCAGGCAAGGCTGCCAACAGCCTATGTATCATCTCAGTGTAAATTTTATAAAGGCTCTTTCCACATGGACACAGCCCTATATGAGGGTACTTATTGGCTTGGTGAATAGAGCATGGACTGGATTCCTACTTGTCCCTTGGCTGGATATTTTGCACAGTGCTTGACTTGCACAACTCCACAAGGCAACCTGAATACAGACACTTTTCACCTCATGAAATTGTCCTGGCAGATGTTACTGTATTAAAGAAGTTCTTCATGATTCTGGGTTAGTCAGTCTAGAATAAGTTCTGCCGCAGTAATAAGTAGGCTCCAGAATCAACACAAAGGTCTGTTTCCTGCTCACATTATAATCAGATGCAGCTTCAATGACCTTCTTCCAGTTGAGTCAGGTGACTCAGGGATGCAGGCTTTCATCTAAAGTGTTGGTTTCCCATATCACTACAGATTGAGCAGACAGTACATAAAATCAGGTATCAAGGATACCACCAGGCCTAGAAGGGTCAAGTGTTTCCTCTATATTGAAAGGAAAGTGACCACAACACTCGGAGTGACCAAGAGATCTTTATTGCAGCAGTGCAACAGAGGAGAAGAGAGAGAAAGAGAAGGAGAGAGAGAGAGAGAGAGAGGAGAGAGCACGCGCGCAAAGGAGACAGAGCAAGAGAGAAGAGAGAGCAAGAGAGAGAGGCCCAGCAGGAGAGAGTTTTTATAGCCCAAATCTAACAGGGTCTCTGGGTTTGCAAGCTGCCTTGTTGGCACAAGGGGGGTTAAGTGTTCGGCCTTGAGCGGCAGGCTGAGTGTTCAGCCTTGAGAAGGCGGGCGAAGCGCCCAGCCTTGAGCGGGGGCTTGGGCGTTTGGGCTTGAAGCAAACAGGTGATAAAGAACCAGACAGAGGGTTTGAGAGGCCAGGTCACCCTGCAGCTAACTTTGTTTGGCAAGCCCTTCAGACAGTTTATTCAGCCTGTCCTGCACCTAACATTCCTCCCTTTTTGTTTTTCTAAGTGACATGGGGAATGATGTAAAGTCCTCTGGCTACTTCCTGCTTAATGGTGGGCGGTGTTGGGCCTAGAAGGGGGAAGTGGAGGAATGTTCAGGGGACAGGTCTGAGAACACCAGGGCAGCCAAAAATAACACTCAGTGGCTACAGACAACTACTTTGGTAGGGGTAAAGTCCATAAAAGTTCCTTGAAGCCACAAGTCATCGATGGCATCAAACCAGTCCTGGATGGAGGAGATTTTTGGTATCAGCCACTGGTCCTGTAGCAGGGACTCTAGGAAGTATTGGAGGTGGCTTGGTTGAATCCAGTAATGTTAAGGGTGACAGCCCAATTGCAGCCAGTGGAAGGGCAATTGCCTTGACCCATAAATTGAGAGTGGGTGGTGTCATCCTGGTGCCATGTTACTTGGATGTAGAAGCGCCATCTGTGGTTGGGATAGAAACTTGAGAGAGATTAATGATTAGTAAAAGAAGAAGAGGGTTGGTGAGAAATTTTGAGTTTGGTGGGCGTGATGGAAGTCCAGGACTGGACATTTGGAACAGGTGCCTTTTTAAGGCAGGAGACATGGTACCAGGGGGAGTGGCCCAAAAGCTTGGTCACCATTGGGGTAGTAAGCATGACTATATGGGGTCCCATCCAGCAAGGTTCCAACGATTGAGAATGCAGTTCCTGAAGTAAGACTGAGTCACCCAGTTGAAGAGTTTCCAATTCGGTTTGTGGTTGTGCTGGGATTGAGGCAATGAATGGCGCAGGAAGGCACCAGTCTGCATGTTCCCTTAGGAGTTTGTGTGGAAGTGTGAGATAGGACAGGTAGGACACAAGGAGAGGAGGAGTGATTGTAAAGCTTTGGATGGTTAAGAAAGGGCATCCATAGAGTTGCTCAAAGGGGCTAAGGCCTTAGGGGGCCCTTGGGGCTGCCTGATTCAGGTGAGGGCCAATGGCAGGAGATTGGGCCAGAAGAGCCTGAGTTCAATAGCAAGTTTAGTGAGATGATCCTTGAGAATGCCGTTAGGCCTCTCAACCTGACCCAAGGATTGGGGTTGGTGGGGGATGTGGAGCCTCCAAGTGATGTTGAGGCCTTTGGAGACTAGTTGAAAAACCTGAGAAGTGAAGGCTGGACCTTTGTCTAACTGGATGGAGGCGGGAAGTCTGAACCTGGGAATGATCTGCTCAATGAGGATGGAGGCGATGGTGTCAGCAATTTCCCTGGATGTAGGGAAGGCTTCTATCCAACCTGAAAAAAGTATCAACCAAAGTAAGTAGGTAGTGAAGCTTTATGTGCCTAGGCACAAGAGTGAAGTTGATCTACCAGTCTTCGCCTGGCTGGTGGCTCCTCATCTGAGGTGTGGGGAGTGTAGGTTTGATGCTTCCTTGTGGGGATGCTGTAGAGCAGACAATAGAACAAGCAGAGTGGATCTGCTGGAGAGTAGTTCTCATTCCTAGGAAGTGAAGAGGGGTTGTAAAAACTGGAAAAGGGGTTAGGGAGGGTTTTAGGTGGGGGCAGAGTCTCTGGAGCCAGAGGAGTTGGTCATGAGTCATAGGTCTCCATCTTGGGCACCAGGGCTGGTAGTCTTAAAGAAGTAGTTGATGATTGACCAGCTAGTTGGTGAATTTGTGTATATGATCTTGCAGGAACTTCTGTAGGCCATTTAATAGCCATGGTCCTATTAGGAGAAAGATAAAGAGGACTAATAGGGGTCCTGTGAGGGGGAGGAGCCAAGGCCATTACTTGACTGAACATTTCCCATGGAGACTGTTGGCCTGATTGCTGTCTCCTCTTTTCTAGCTGTTCTTGTCCTTCATTACCCCCAGGAATGACTGTGTTTTGGTTTAACTGTTTTTGGTCGGTGTTTAAGATTAAGCTGGTCAAAATTGACTTTGTTTCTATCTATTGTTAAGAGTCAGCCGAGTTCCCATAGGAGCCACTCGTGGGGGGACTTGAGAGCAGCTTCTCAGTTCTGCTAGTGCTATTTGCGCTAGGATAGGTCCAGGTCTTACTTGACCATGTGGCTTCCCTTGGAAGCATCAGAGATGTCTCCCTTCTCCGATGACCCTCCTATTCACAGCAAGTGCACTTGCCGCAGTCTGGCTGGGCACAATCAGGAGCCACTTGTCAAAAGAAACTAACTTTATTTTTAGAACCACACACGCCAAACAAAACAGCCTCTCAGGAAAAACCCTCAGAGCCTCAACTGCCACCACCGGCTTTCCACAAGCCTCTCTCTCCCACACAAGCTTCTCTCCACCTCCCACAATCCTCCTGCTCTTGAGGCCGATTGGCTGGGTCACGTGGGCGGAGCCAAAAAAGTCCCCCAATGAGCAGCTCCGTGGTCTGAAAGGGCAGGGAAACAGCCCAATGAGCATCACCGCAGAGGAGCCAATCAGCTAGATGTTGCTGGGGCCGAGGAGCCAATCAGCTAGATGTTGATGGGGCCGCTGTGAGCCAATCATCAGCCGGCAGCTGGAAGTTTGCTGGCAGCTGGAAGTTTGGTGGGGCCACTTCCGCTGTGGCTCTCAACATGCACTGATTGGCTTTTCATTCTCCAGTGGTCTCCATAATCTCCCTGATCAGGAGGTTATGTGGCCCAGAGTTGCAAAGCTCTTTAGAGAAGTTCCCTGTTCCCTGGATTCAGTCTGACTCAGAGGGCCAGAGCCAGATATTGGTTTTCTTGGCAATTTTAATTTAATTTTAAGTCTTGATCTTAAACATCCAGCAAAGTCAGTTTAAATTAAGAGTATTGGGATTTAGCTGAAGTTTGGCCTACTTTGGAGTCATTCTGACATGTAGTAAGATGGGAGGCACAGCCTTATCTCAGGTAAGCCAGGGCTCTTTATAAATCTTAGGTAAAGTGTTCTAGTATTGAAGCTGATCTTTGTTTTTAAATATAATTTTATAAAGTTTACATATATTGTTGTTCGAGGTCACATGAATACTAGCTAACACAATATGATATTACATTTAAATTGTACCCAGTGTATAGAACTTTATATTATTCTTATTGATAACAGGTCCAGTTATAGAACATTAAATGATATAAATAAATTTCCAATATGTTATTCTTATAAGCCTAAAATTACCATGCAACCTTTTGGAGAACACCAGCTTGATATAATTTTTTTTAAGGCTTCTATCTTAATGACTTATATACCTGGAAAATATGAACACATTCAATATACAAAGAAGAGTAATAGTACCACAATTACTATTGATGCTTTATATTAATCAAGTTTAGCTCTTAAAGAAACAACATATTACAATATTGCAAAATAACAGTTGTTGTTTAACCATAGTTGTATAATGTTTAATTCCTTCAAGATTACTTGCTCAAAAAACTTACATATATAACCGACATACACAGACCTTCTTTATCACTTGCTTAAACCTATATAGCCAATGTACGCAGACCTTCTTTATCACTTGTTTAAACCCTCTTATTTACTTAATAGACTCTCTTATCCAGAAACACCTTTTCCTTCTATTAAATCCATACTTAGAACCTACTTCTATTTTTTCTTTCCCATCTGTTAACTCTTTCTTTATTCACATTTTGAAACAATCCTTGTAAATTTCTGAATTTAGGCAAATCATTCCATTTTAATAAGAGATATTTTGTTATTTGCAGCACACAATTAATCACATCTGTTGACCATTTCATGAAAACATTAACAGTGTTTAAGTGTATAGGATATACTGTTGTAGGGACGGACAAGGCAG